ACAAAGTCTACTGAGAAAATCGTCAAAATCTATGCTGTATAAGCTTTATCTCCTATAGCACTGATTGTTCAGATACCAGTTTTTGCGATATATCTCCTTTATGTAGGAAACTAAACCCAATAAATTGTGTTACCGGTTTACATACCGATCACATAGCAGTGAAAATCACTTAGATTGGTGCCATATAAAGTATATCTTCCATACCTCTGATTGTTTAGATGCGATTTTTTATATAAGTATGTAACTCCTCTATCGATGTATGCAGATGTATTCAAAATCAGTAATCTGTCAAAGTAAAATTTGCAGATGTTCATGAAAGGTATGAAGACTTCGGCATAGCCGAAGACAGCGCTGCTCTTACTTGTTTTGAACTAATATTACTCCGAGATAGTTAAAACCTGAAATAATTTGAAATATTATAAGCTGCGGTGTCTCATGAAGATGCGGAATTTACAAGAATATACAAATTTAAATTTGTCGGCCGCTGTGGTGTAGTGGTAAGCAGTGCGCGCTTCCACTCCGCAATGCCTGGGTTCAACCCCTGGTAAAAGCAACATCGAAAAAAAATAATAGAAAAAAGATTTTTTCTTAACAGCGGTCGTCCCTCGGCAGGCAATGGCAAACCCCCGAGTGTATTTCTGCCATGAAAAAACAGCTTCTCATAAAAATACAATCGCCGTTCGGAGTCGGCGTTAAACTCCCTCCTCTTTGTGTGACAACATCAAGGCGCACGCCACAAATCAGAGGAGAAGCTCGGCCAAACACTAACATATGTGTAAGCGCCAATCTATTATTATTATTATTAAAATACAACCATGATTGATAAAAAGCTGAAGTTGCAAACCCACCTTGTTGAATTCTAGTCGCGTTGAAAATGCTAGTACGCAGGCAAGTTAAGTATTTCTTTTCTAATTGTTTGTACAGATTTTGATTTTATTACCACCTGAGTAAAACACATCGTTTCTTGGTGCTGAATCCAAATCCAACCGCACAATTGCTCCAGTACTAGAATTTTTAGATATCCTACCCCCAGATTGCCAAAAACACGGGTTTTTGCGATATTTGAGGTTATATAATGAAAACATAAAATTTTTTGCTCATTTCTACTTAGGGCATTATTTTCGTGTGTTGCGATTCGATTTTTCTCTCGAGATACAGTCAGTGCATGGACTTCGAAAAAATTATTATTGGTAGATTCTACATACAAAAAATGGTAGAAGTTGGTAGATTTTTTAGAAGAAACAATATCAGATGGTTATTACTCAAACAGGATAAAACATGGCGAATTCATAAAAGATGGCGTTACCAGAGCACCTGGATTTACGCCTTCATGAACCTTAATGTCAAACTGATATACAGATGCGATCAACTTATTAGTAACGAAATTTTAAATGATATTGTTTGCAAATTATGTTTATTTATTTTTAATAATTTTCATTTGAAATATAATTCAATGCATAACAGAAACCACAATGATAAAAGTTTAAAAGCTTGCACAAATTGCAAAAAAAATTAATCAAACATCAAAAAATTGTCATCAAAATTTGAAAATTTTTAATTAGAATATTTAGAAAATTTTCGCGTATGCAGTTTTGTAGCCCATTCAATTGTAGTGTAAGAAAGTGGAAGTTTGAAGTCGTTAAAAATTACCGTTGATTTTTTATAATTTTTGTTGTGGAGGGTGTTGCTGTTTTTTTTTTCATATCAAAAAAATGTTGATCATGTGTAATTATTACTGGCATTGAGCGTACAATTTTTTCGTGTAATTTTTGTTTTTATACTCCTTCCCGAAGGTTCAAAAATAAATTTCGTATAAAATTTAGTTCGATCTCGGATGGCCTGATTCGGGCCCTGTATTAATTTAATAGGAGGGAGACTCAAGCAATTGTTCTCCGTCAAAGTTTACTTTTAAATTTTATTTAAGGTGTGTGTTCGATGACAAAATATATGTATGTATATGTTCATTTAAATCTGTTTGCTTTCTTTCGGCAAAATATTGGCAGAATTTTAGTCTTTGTTGGTAAAAATGGTAGAAAATATAATATAGCTAAAAAGTTTGTAGATCTACCAATAAAGTGGTAAAGTCCGTGCACTGGATATAGTAGTTTTAATAGTACTTCGGTATTACGTCGTAAGCATGAGTCATCATAGCATGTGTAGAGGCTATTCAATGGTTATGAGCGAAAACGTTTTGTGTATTGATTTACGTATGTATTCTTGTAAATATTGTTAATTTTTTGCTTTTGTTAAATACAAACTGTTATGAAAAAAGCATCCTTTGGTTAAAAAAAATTGGTGCTTTTAGTTTGGTAAAACGCCTTTTTTCCAAGTTTTTGGTTCTTTTTGAAAATCAAAAGTTGGCAACACTGCTTTTCCGGCCTATTTTCCCTTTTTTTGTAGGGGTTTAGGTCCTAAAAATCCGTTCCCTGGTAATAATGTTGTGTGTGAACTTCAAAAAAATTGAATTAATGGGATTATTTTACCACATACCTCCGATGCAAAACTTAACCCAAAAATGCCTTAAAAATACCACAAATGCCATCATTATTATATAAGGTTATGTTAAAAGTCTCAAATTGTTAGTAGCTTCTGTACGCGCTTTCTAGTGAACATGTTGCGCGTATAGGCGGTGAGCGTTCATGGTTCACGATGCGTGCGCGCTGTGACAAATGTTGCTGTAAGTAATAAACAGAAAAAATCTAACAATTTTTTTTAAAGAAATATTTTCTTGAATAAATGCAGTTTTCGAAAATATAAACGAAATGGAAACACTCATTGAGAACACATCTTTAATGCAACTGACTAGTGTCTAAATTAAAAAAAAAAGTTTTTTTCTAAATTATAAAAATATTTTTGTTTAAAGCTCTAATATCACTACGCTTACAAAATAAATCTCATCAACTTTCGTCAAATACTTTCAAAGAAAATAAGTTTTGAGAAAGATTGCTCAAAAATATATTTGCTTATAAAAATTTTAAAAATTATCTACATCTACATATAAACCTCTACACACAAATTTTCACACAAAAATTCGAACTTGACCGAATTCCGAGGTCCAGTTGAGAAATTTTCACCCATATGTTACCGGCCAAACCCGATCTTAGGACAAACTAGTTTTTCCTAGGCTAAACTAGTTCTATCTAGATCCAATATATCCGTCCAATGTCGAAACAAGTTGGACGCAACAATATTTTGGACTGCGTACCTGGAGTTGGACTGATAGGGTCATTTTTTTGAAGTGCGACTGAAGGCCGCCTACGCGGAAAGGTGTTCGCGCAAAAATACTGTGGCCCCTTATCTAGTTTAGCCTAGGCAAAACTAGTTTGTCCTAAGATCGGGTTTGGCCGGTAACATATATAAACCTTGCTCCTCATCATAAGTCAATGCACAGTAAAAATTATTTTCACCGCTCTTTCCGCAGGATCATTTACAACGGTAAAATTTATACAAATGTGGTTTCCTGCACAATCATAACTCACCTTTTCTATTTAGCCAAGGGTAGGGGTACAATTTTAAAAATCGATATTGATTTGCAAGCGATAAAAAAATGGCTTTTTGCGTGCTGTGACAATATCACTTAATTACCTTATTCGCGAATCACTTCATCTATTCGACTGTTACAGCTAAATGCTGTTGTATAATCTTAAGACTTTTTAAAACTTGTTTAAAAATACAAAAAATAAATCCCTGCAATTTTCCATATTTGATTAGAAATGCACATACACTTTTCTAAAACGTGAAAGGTAGTTATCATTTTTACTATATCGATGATCCTCTGCAATAACGATACAATCTAAAATTGAAAAAATAAAAACTCTTACTACTGTTAAGTGACTTAAATATGTCCCTAATCCTTATCTAATCCGTGTGTAATCCTTACTACTTACTGTAGCAATCCTTAGTATTTACTTTAGAGATATCTCAAAATGTTGGCCTTTATCAAAGGTATTTTCGAAATATGCAAAAACTTCGATATTTCCGTAAATACTGGATCCAAATGTTTAAAGCATAAAGCAAGGCAATTATTAATTTTTTGAAAAGCGGGCGTGGGAAACGGTCCTGCTCATGAAAACTTGCTATAACTCAGTAGCCGATTCACCAAACAAATATTGCCTAGAGTGAAGCTAAAAAATCTGTGTTAACTTTCGAAATCGGTCATTAACCACGCCCACCTCCCTTATAATAGTAATTTACAGAACTACGAAAACGGCTCTAAATCAATAACATATGTATGTGTAACATATGCGTGTCTCGGTGACCTTTGTATTTATCTATATCTACCAAACTCTGTACAGTTATTTACCTTGCTACAAAAAAATAATATGTTGAACATTTTTTAAATCGGAGAAAAATTACGCCCACTTCCCATTGAACAGTAAATTTCAGATATAAAAAAACTGGTACAATTCAATAACTAAGCACGCTAGTTTACTCCAAGTTAATACTTACATCAATCTCTTACGAATAAATACGATTATTATAGATTTTTGGAAAATAGGCCCACTTATGATTACACAAGTTTATATCTGTAAGCGATTTATCGATTTGTACTAAACTCGATTCAATTATTTCAATGATGGTGTGATTGAGCATATTATCGAAAATGTTTAAAATCAGAAAGGCGAGACAACACTATTTACACGTGCACCGGGTATATAAAGTTTGGTTTCGCCAAAACTTATACTTCTTTACTTGTTTTCATTCCCAGCAAACCTTTTGGTTTGATATCAACTTGAGACGCATTTGATATTAAATAGCCTTCTCAAATCTCCAACGTTAATTCTCAACAGCATCTCAACGAGCGGATTATAGTATTCTCAACATAAAAGGCACTTTTTTTACATGAAGATTTTCTTAGTTATCAAGTTGAGAAATTGTTAATTCTCCACTTGACCCCAAATCAATTTCTCCAATTGGTATCAAATGAAAGCTTCTTTTTTATTTTATACTTTTAATACATTTTATTTTATTTTGCACTTTTGGTTACTTATTTAGATTAAAAATTATACAAAGTACCAGCTTTTTATGATTAATTTAATTCTATGATTAATTTAATTCTTAAGGTGGTATTGTTTTTACCGTACCGTATTTAAAAAAATTTAAAAGAGAATTTAAAGTACATTTGCTTAGCAACGACTTACAAAATTAAAAGAAAATCGCATTTCAAATCGTAGTATGGTCCAATATGCACCTTCTACAAAAGGTTTTCGTAAATGATGAAAATAATTTAAATAAATAAATCCGTATTGTTCCAAAAAGCAACATTAAGATATATGTGGTACACCGGACAAGTTTCAGTTAAATCCATTAACTATAGTTATATAAATTTAATTATAACTCATATGTGTGTATGTACGTATGCACATATTTTCAAAATTCGTTTCAAAATTCATTTTTTTTCTGGGTTAATATGACATAATGGATTTATCTGAAACTTGTCAGTGGTATCACAGATATCCTAAAGTTACTTCTTGGATCTATACAGATTAAATTAAAATAAATACAATTATCGATCCAGCTTAATGCACCTTTGTGAGCATACATATACATATTTAAGTTATTTTATATTTTCCTTACGCTCTTTGTATGCATGCTTTTTCTGCAGACGATTATTGGCATGCTGGAAAAATGATATGACTGTCCTTTCGAACTCGCTGTCGGAAGCTGCAGTTGCAAATTTTTGATTGTACGCTTCTGAAATGATATACATATGTATATACATACAAATGTGTAAAAATTAAAGAATGATAAGACATACTAACGTTTTAGTGCTGTTGTTACACTTAAAGCTCGAACGGGCGTTTTATTATTTGTTCCTTGCCAGCACAATTTTTGGGCTACTTCGTCGGTCATAATTTTCCGCCATGCTTCTTTTAAAAATTTTGATGAATTGCCACAAATTATGCTCAAAAAATCGGCAACCTAGAAAAGTCATATGCATGTTGTAATTACTTTCATGTTTAAATAGTATGCGGTTATACGCTTATTTACAAAACTTACCAAGTCATTAAATTTGTTTTCCGATTTTTCTATTTTGGCCTCAAAGTCTTTAAAATCATTTTCTTCTTTAAACGGTGTTTTCGGCATTATCGGCTTGCGTGTGCTACTCTTGGAATTGCCATTAGCTTTGACTTCTTCGAGAACGCGTTTCAGAAGCTTTTGTGTAATTTCTTGTTCTGTTAATATTAGAAATGTATATAAAATACATAAGTACATATTGGTTGATATTAACGATTTAAGGATACATGTTTATGGACTTTTGCAAAAACAACTTATGAATCTGACTTAAGCATTTTCGCTTCCAGCCAAATAAATCGAAACAACTTCTATCTAGTTCAGAAATGCATCGAGAAAATCGCAATACGATGGATTTAGTGATAGCCCTATTATTTAGTGAAAAGTCCAACAACGTAAACACTACAATAATTTTACCTTTTAAAACATTTTCTTGAAATTTATCAATTTTTTGGTGTAACTCATCTAAATCTGAAAGATTAAAAATAATATTATTAGATATGTATATCTTTATCAAATAACAAATAAAACTCACTTTTTTAGATATCAGCTCCTCTGCTAGTATTGCTGACGAACTAAGAAATGTGCTGTTTAAATCCATCTACATGTGAATGAAAGGTATAAATATAAATTTATTACATTCGAAATTATTAAAGACAATGATTTTCTGAGATATTTCATGTACTGAATGCTGAAATTGACAATCAGAAAACTGCAATGTGGCGCAACATTTAATATTAAAATGGGATGATTTTATAGGAATCGTAAAAAAGTCTGTTAAGTTTATAACTTCTCTGGAAATAATTTCAAGAGCACTGTCTTTTTTTGAAAGTCGTTTGAGAATAAATATTTTATTTTGGACGCTGTAAAAATTATCTGGACGTTTAAGGGATAAGTAAAAGAATTCTGTATTTATTGACTTCACGGGTCCATTTTCATCTGCTTTTTTATTTGTAATTTTTGCTGCAGAATATTGAGAGGAATATAAACTTTCCTCAACCAAGCGGTTATATATTTGTGCAGCAATGTGATCTTTTTTATTGCATTTTCGTTTGAGTTTCGACAAAAAATTTTCGAATTTGAACGCACTTACAGACTCTAAGCATCCATGGTTCAATGCATCACTATGCAAGTGTGTAAGGCAGTGATAGTTGAATGTTAAAAAAGAATCATCATAAAAATTTGGAACTTTTTTAACAAATTCATTCAAGAGTATTTTTGCGCACGCATTGTTTTCCTTACAGGACTTTTCATTCAATAATATTCTTATGCCCAAGCTTAGCATTAAGAAATGCGTATATCTTTCTACATCTAAGACTTCAGCTAAAGCGAAAATTCCTGTATATAACAGAAATGTCCTTAGCTCAGTAGCCTTAAACCTTTCAATATCGCTCAGGCCACGTGGATGACGAGCAAATTCTTTTGGAACCTGATTACTTAGAAACAATAATCGAGAATTCAACAAACTTATAGTCGAGGATTTCAAAGAATAAGTTTTATTTCTCTGCCTAACCCATCCAAGAAGCAAAGATTTGGTTACACCAAGGCATACAACATGCATGTAATCATAAGGAAAAGAGTTTGCAATATCGATGGGCAGTTTTTCGATAGCTGTTGACTCGATCAGTTTGTGATGATTTACGTCCAAACGGGATCGGAAACTTAAATCTGTTCTAGCGCTATGAATTTCACTACGAAAAATCATTCTATGCCCAAGGGATTCTCCTCTTTGCGTGCATTTGATACAACTAGAGAAACCAGTGTGTCCTTTAACTCCTAAAATATAGGACCTTGCTGGCGCATCGCAAATAAATGAACGACAATGAATGGAATAATGACTGCCATTGTAATCCAACCCCTTTTCTAACAGCTCCAGCAACTCGTTTACAAACCTTTGCAAATAATCATTTGGAGATAATGGTTTACTATTGCCGGAATAAGCCCCTACAACCATAACATTAGGCGTTCCATTGACATTTATTAATATTGGCCAAGTCTGCAAATTGGAACTTTTTGAAAGTGGAAGGCCGTCAATATTAACGTTAAGATGGATTTCCATCAAACTATAGGAGTTGTTTATTAAAAAATCAGTTAGTGAGTCCTCAACACCGTAGTGAATGTATTCTCCTAGTCCCATATTTTCAACAGGTGGTCTCCTAGGAGTGGATTTTAAAGTCCTTGAATCCCGTGGAAGATCACCCACGTGTTTGCACAATATTGTTAATAAACTATTGGTAGCCGCCGTTGATATATTGAATTGCACAGACCATGCCGCTAATTCAATTCTCAAATCTACAGATTTTTCGAAATCTGGAACACCATCACTTTTCGACTCACTCAATTCATCATCCGATATATTTGAAGTGGACGAGCTTGCAGTGAAAGTATCTTCTTGGCCCTGACACTCCTGACGTGTAGGAGCGGCCACTTCACGCTCTGCAAGAAGATCTACTATCTGCTTCACTTCACTTTTTAATTTCTTTCTTTGCATTGTTTCTGCCACTGAACTAAGCACTAACTTTTTTTAAGTTATTGCGCAACTCACCTTTTATTGTTTTCTTGTTGCGATAATTTTTATTTCAGTGTTTTCACTTTTTCTACGAACATTAAAACATATGTTTCACCGCTGTTGCCAGGTCAACACTTTTGCAAAGGAAACATAAGCGCTGCCAGAAAGCTGTTAAAAATTTCTCAAATATTCCTCAACTTAAGGGCAAATTGAGGAATAGGGTTTGAGAAAAGGATAATTCTCAAATGGTAAGGAATGTTGAAACTCAACTTAAGGGCAAATTGAGGAATAGGGTTAGAGAAAATGATAATTCTCAAATGGTAAGGAATGTTGAAACTCAACTTGAAAATTAAGGGTTTCTCAAACGTTGGAGAATATTTTTTCTTGTGTTTGCTGGGTTGTAGCCTTTTTTGCTCGGAAGCGAAGCGTGCGGCAATCGTTAGAGTCGACCATTTACCCATCCAAAAGCCCCACTGGAATTAACAGAGATAATAGTACATAGTCACCAAGGCCAAATATACTGCTCCTAATAATAGAGGCTTTATACAAATTACTGCATACAAACATGAAAAAATTGTTACTAAGCGTGTATAGCATAGGAGAATTCTACACGTAGTTCTAAGCAAATTCGCCGAAGAAACCATGGGTCTAAAATCAATTTGGAGTTTGCCAAATTGCGAAATAAAGTTTGGAAAAAAATGTAAAATTTTCACTGTGTCGCCCTTTTGTGGAAGTTTTAAGAACAGGATGAGTACACAAATGGATTCCTCATACAAAAAACCCCTTATAGCATGTTTTTATGCTAAAATTAAGCCCTTCTTTAGGACACAACAGCAAAATGCTAAGAAACCTCTTTTCACAATTTCGGAAACTCCAAATTGGCTTTTAGCCCTGGTTTTTACGGCAAATTTGCTAAGAATTACACGTAGAATATGTCTGTGCTAAAGGCGCATAGTATCCTATACAAATTGACTCGCCCTAATGTATATTCGTTTGTATATATGTAACTTATGTAAGTACATATGCATGTAAAACATGTATTTTGCAAGTTACCAAACTGTTTCAACTTTTCCCTAAAAAAAGCATATTTAGTAAAGCATATTTGATATTAAGAGCGTATTCACTGCCCTTTCAAACGCTCGAAATAGTTAAGCGGAAAGTTGAGTAAAACTAAAGCAACAAAAAGTAGCTAAAACATTTTAGAATACCACAAACGCACAAAAAAGTACTTAACAATAATATTTTTCGGAATATTTTGTATTTACTTTGGCTATTTACTGTTGGCTTTATGCATATTTGTGTTTTTCATGTCTACGGCCAGTTGATTTGCATTTTCTCTCCCTTTCCTCATTTCCACAATGGAAATAGGAATCAGTATATTCATTACGCAATAGAAGAACTTTAATGAGACCACTTAATTCGGGAAAAGTTTGATGATGGCCATCAACGTTTGTATGTAAGTATATATGTATCTAAACAAAATGGTATTAAGGTAGTTTTCAAATTTTATCCATAAAAAATAGGGAGTGGTGATTCCACTCGAAACGAAATTAGAATATTTTAGTGGATGGGGATTTTTAAGGCTTCAGGAAGAAGGAAATTGAAAAAAAAAAAAAACACATTTAATGGAGAAAATTGTAAATACATTCATTTTACTTTTCTGTTATATACTTTTTATGTACAACTGTGGTAATTTGTAATTAAGTAAGGAACTGTATTATCTGGTATTGAAAAATATACTATAGATTTTTCTGCTAATTCTAGCGGCGAAATTGCACATAGAACACAAATAAGCTTGGAATGTTTAAAAGGCCCGTCAGAATGGGTACTTTTACGTCAGTAACGGAAAAGTATGCGAAGGAAGTGCCGTACGTAACATATGACACAATGAAGGTATTGCGTCTGCAAACAAAGATCAGCTGTTCCTATGGTCGCGTACTTGGGGTTTACACAAGTCAATTTTGCAGATGCAATAGTAAAACATTTACACTTTTTTACTAATATATACACACTTCCCTTGAAGTCTTCGTCACAGTCTTTGGCTTTTCGAAGACAGTTTATTGTCTGGACGCCTACTTTACTCAAACAATGTGACAATTAATACATATTCTTATTTGTCTTATGGGCTGTTTTTGCTTACGCATAAAAGCACATTTAGCGCATTTAGCTCTAAATGCTACTGTAAATGTACATTTCGACCGCTGTGGTGTAGTGGTAAGCAGTGCGCGCTTTCACACATCAGCACCTGGGTTCAAGCCCAGGTCAAAGCAACATCCCAAAAAATATAGAAAACGGTTTTTTCTTAACAGCGGTCGTCCCTCGGCGGGCAATGGCAAACCTCCGAGTGTATTTCTGCCATGAAAAACAGCTTCTCATAAAAATACAATCGCCGTTCGGAGTCGGCGTAAAACTGTAGGTCCCTCCGCTTTGTGTGACAACATCAAGGCGCACGCCACAAGTCGGAGGAGAAGCTCGGCCAAACACTAACATATGTGTAAGCGCCAAACTATTATTATTATTATTATAAATGTACATTTATCCATACAAAATTCGTCACCTAAATGCAACTAAATGCATCTCCATTTATGCATTAAGAATCTAAATGCTAGAAGCAACCCTGTGATCTTCCAAAATTTCCACGATTCGAACATGGTTTAATGAGAAAATGTGGCAACATTGCTTTTTCGCGTATGCAGTTGCTAGCTGCGTTTCAGTGATCGCCGGTCGAGATTTCATTTATTATTTTAAATTATTTGGAAAAAGAAAATTTGCACGAATTTAACATCGATATGAAACTGATAGATATCCGGCTCAATTAGTGATCAACTCTGCGGGTTTTTTTCCTATTTAATTGAGGATATTTCAATTGACAGCACCGACAAATGAAAATATACACAAACAAATTTTCGGGTATGGTTAAAACAATTCAAGTTGTTGTATTGAACTTTTTGTTTAAAATTTCTTTTTCCCTTTTCAGTAGAGTTTTTTGCACATTATCTTCTCTGTGTGAATTGATCGTGATAGATACGGATCTGAATAAGCGACAGGAACACGGCCGTTTGTCAAAAGCATACGGTTTCGAACTCGCGTAAATGTACATTTGCTAAATGCGATAGCATGAACGCTCTTCAAAAAAATATGTTCGAAAGTGAAAATGTTGCATTTTAAATGCAGCTAAAACGCAAGGTTATACAATTGTCAGCAGTGACGGACTTACGTGCGTCAAAAGTTGACTGTTGATCAATGTTCGTCGGGTCCGTCGACGCGAGGGTTGCCA